AATTTGTAGATTTTAATCTTTTCCAGGAAAAACATTTATTACTTTAAAAGAAGTACAGAATTTGCCTTAAAGTTGGATAAGTCGTTGCCCTTGTTTTACCGCTGCAGGTACTTCGTACAGGCCCCGTGGAAGTCATCCAAAGTGAAGGTGTCCAGGAGCCTTGTCAGGGCTGCTCCGAGATTCTGTTTCAGTTTAGTTAACCAAAAAGACACAGGGATCAAGATCTGTGCTTTTGGGTGGCTAAGGGACAGTTTTGATGTTCATCTCAGTCAACACCAAACTTTATTGCATAGCGAGCTTCCAAACTGTTTTCACGTCACGACTGCATTCTGCAAACTAAGTCAGCTGTGAGAAGCGGTGTTTTATAGGGTGTGTCCAAAGAGCTGTTATAGACGTCTCCTGGAATAGCAAAAGTTGGCAGGTCAGATTATTACATGTAAAGTAATGACATACTAACATTACTATAATCTAAGACTCTTATAACTGGCACTCCTAAAAAAATTCAAATCTTCTAGGATGCACTTGTATATATCAGGACTTCAGTTTCGCCCCCGCAAAAAATAAATAAAAATAAATCAAACGGTCAGCCAGTGCATTTATGGATGATAACTCTTTGAATGCAAACAGTCTTTGAAATTAAAGTGCCCAATATAAAAAAAATAAGCATTAATTTTAATAAATAAAATATTCAACTTATTTATCTCTACTCAGAATTTCGCAGATAGGTTATTCACTTTTTGGATCAAATTTCAACATGATATATTGGTTCTAGGTCAACTACCCAACGGCCAACTGGCCGATAAGAACAATTACTCGATGGAAAAATGCCTGATGTTTATATATATGTAGAATATTTAAATATTTTTGCTGTTATTCGAAAGGAAAGTATCATATTATAATTTCAATGCAATGGCAGTTTTACTCATGTTACACACATTGAAAAATACAACCAATTTGTGAAAAGGAGAAATTTTGATTCTTCGCTTTTGATCGTACTAAAAAGTAACTTTCAATACCTTTAAACCTTTGATATATTCTTTATGATTTCGCTGTTTTTATTACAATAATAATAACAATGATGTTCCAGTAATGTTAATAATGTTAATAATAATATAAATAATGCAAATAGTAATAATAATCTTAAATATTTATTAAGAAAGCAATAATGAAACAAATAATATAAATGATTTTACAGTGTAACCCGGATATAAGAGAGATGTCGGGACCGGAGAAGAAGTCTCTTATATCCGGGTTTGGTCTATTTTATATACATTAACACAGGCTCTAATTTGGGACCAGAGAAACTCTCTTATATCCGGGTTTCTCTTATATCCGGGTTACACTGTATATTAAAGAAACTAATTCTTGCAGACTCAAGACATTTTTTGGTTCCTCTCAGTTCACCTTATGTTGGAAAATATTTATATACATAAAAATTCCGCTATTTAAAATATCAGCCCTAATATTTGGTTTGTTGTTGACTGACTCTGATTTGACACACACGCGAGCGCTCTCTCTCTTTCTCTCTCTCTCTCTCTCTCTATATATATATATATATATATATATATATATAAGCAAATATATGGATATAGATCCGACAGTATGTTGAATTGATAATGTTAATTATATTTTATGAATATGTCCTGAAGATGGTTTATTAGACCGAAACGTCCGACGTTGACATATTAACATTAAAACAGAATAAATGTATATAAGGATTTTTGTTTGTTTTTTCCGTATATATTTTTCTTCATATATATATATATATATATATATATATATATATATATATATATATCCCATAAAAAAAATTGCTTGCATTTTTCAATGTGTAACACGAGGAAAACTGCTAGTGCACTGAAATGCTATGATACTTTCCTTTTCGAATAACATCAAAAATATCTAAATATTCTACATATATATAAACATCGGCCATTTTTCCGTCGGGCACTTGTCCTTCGGGCTCTTGTCAGTTGGGCAGTTGCCAGTCGGGCTCTTGTTAGTCAGGCAGTTCTCCGGATACCTATTCACTCATCTCTAGTCTTTATCAGAAATGTTAACTTTATCAGTGCCACAGACAAAGGTTTTTATTAGATTAAACCTAGCATTTTTCTTTTAACATTAGAATTTTCACTTAAATATACTGCATTGAATACAAGTGATGTCATTTGTCCGGGGTTTGTTAGGGTTACACATCTTAAAGTCTAAAATATCTGTGCGTTAGGGTGTCACAAAACTTAACAACGACTAAAGATCAATAAACACAACCCTTTATATTCAATGCTTTTTAAAACCATTTTTTTGACAGGGACAAAAATGTCCCAAAAGTGTTACTATGTAACAAAAAACTGAGGTTCTTTACAGAAATGAACAACTGATATTATTAAGAGATGTTTTCTTGGGATGTTATGCGTCCGATTAAAGAGTCATTGAATCGAATCTGTTGGGTGACTCTTCGCCACCAGCCCGAAACTAGTTCTCAAGATAAAAAGGATTTTTGAAAGGCAATAAGTCTCATGGTCTACCTACTTTAGATGAGTTTTCTGGAGCCTAACTTGAATTCTAGGGGTCTTGGTTGACTTGGAGTTCTCAGTCTTAGTCGCTCAACTTTCACATTGAGAATGGTGCTGAGGCAACGCTGATGGAAGCGCTCGAGTAAGGCGTCGGTGAAACTGATAAAGGATTTCGTTGAGCCAATATTTAAATAGAAAACACTCTGTGTTAGTGAAGCATTGGCTGGAACCCTGATCCCGTGGTCTATTAACAAGAACTTCAATTCATTTTGGGAAATGGAAAAAACATACCTCGACTTGAGTTAATCGATCTAAATCAGTTTAAACTTCACAACTTCTTAATATCGTATATACTCGTGTATAAGACGAATTCCTGTAGAGACAGTTCTGTGCAATGCGTGATACATGACTGACGAGGAAGATTTTTGCCGCAGTAGGTTGCCATTTCTTTCTACGGTAGACCAGTTGCCATCCAATGCTATAGAACCCTGTCTGTCCTGCAGTAAGGAGAAGAAGAGGAGGATTCATACCATTCCCAAGACGTATTAGCGCCTAAGTGAATGTAATGGATTCGACTGGAATTCGAACTCAGCTCTCCGATTCCTCAATCCGAAAAAAAAAGGATTTTCGAAAGTCGATAATCTTCATGGTCTACCTACTGTAGATGAGTTTTCTGGAGCCTAACTTGAATTTTAGGGGCCTTGGTTGACTTGAAGTTCTCAGTGTTAGTCGCTTAACTTGCACGTTGAGAATGGCGCAGAGGCAACGCTGGTGGAAGCGCTCGAGTAAGGCTCGAACTCGGCTCTCCGATTCCTTAATCCAAGCCGCTATCCATTACTCCACCGTGCCTCCTCCCTTATGTATTGTACGACCTTTGGATTTTTGGCATGAATTTTAACCCTCTCCAGAAACAATTTACATGTGTGTAATGCAACCAGCCATCTAAAATAAATGTTTTTAACCTCTTCAAAAAAATTATGTGTATAGTGTGACCCCCTATATCTGGCCTAAGAAAAGATCATTCAAACTTGCATTATATTCGAGTATATACGGTAATTTGCCTTAGTTGTTTGTTTTTATATGTATTTACTGTTTTTTTATGTGTATTTAATGTTTATTTGTATACAACCGGTCACCGAAGAAAAGGAATTTCGAGTGGGTAAAGAAGTGCAAATAGACCATGTTACACCAATTGCAAAGAAGCTAAAAAAGAAAGCAAATGCAATGTTCCAAATGAAGGATCGATGGCAAGATAAACCTCTTCATGTTTAATATTCTGCCCCTACCAAACAAGCTGACTTAGATAAACTCCATACCCATCAGTGGTTACATAGTGCAGGGTTAAAAGCTGAAACCGAACTTTTTATTCATGCTGTAGATGATAAATAGTTGCTAACTAAAAATTACCAAACACACATACTAAAAAATTCTCTTAACCCGAAAGACAGATTCTGTGATAAATATCCTGAATGAATTGGCCATCTTGTATCAGGTTGCACGGTGTTAGCAACCACTAAATATAAAACTCGGTATGATAGAGTGGGCCAATATCGACACTGGAAAATATGCTACTTTTACGAGCAAGAAACTCCAAACAACCTAGTATGAGCATCACCCAGAGTCGGTGACAAAGATAGGGACCTGCAATAATTTTAGGGGGACTTTACAATAGTTACAGACAGAACAATCAAAGCTAATCGCGGTCAAAGACCACAAAAACAGAATGTCATTTCCTATTGGTATGGCGGGTCCCTGCAGATTGTAATGTATCTTTAAAGATCTTCATAAAACTATCAAAATGCAAGGACCTTGAAATCGAAATCTCAAAAATATGGCACATGAAGACATCAATAATTCCAGTTGTTGTTGGGGTCCTGGGTTTGATTGGAAAAGGTTCCGATAGACTCATTGAAGGGATTCCTGGCAGTCCATGCCTTAAAGAAATACAAAAAATTGTACCCACAAATCTCACACATTACGAAAAGCTTTATTTATATAAAATGTGTGGGATCTTTGGGGTTTTTTTTTGGGGGGGGGGTATTTTTGCTTTTTTTTACAAAAATTATCAGTGGAAAATGTCATGAAGCAATAATAATAATAATAATAATAATAATAATAATAAGAAGAAGAAGAAGAAGAAGAAGAAGAAGAGCCACAACAACAACAACAATAATAATGGTATTGATAATAATAATAACAATAATAATAATAATAATAATAATAATAATAATAATAATAATAATAATGGTATTAATAATAATAATAAATAAATAAATAAAGGTAGAATTCTAGTAATATATACAATCAAGTTCGTCGCTATTATGAATATTATGCTGTCGTCTTTAGGACTGCATACACCGTCTCCACCCAGAAATCTCATATTTACCGCAGCCACACCCTCTTTATCGGCATTCTTGTTATCATCGCTATCATCGTCTCCACCTTCCTCATCAAAATTAATACAATTCCCCCCCCCCCATCCTACTTATGCCTACTTTCACAACCGACACCTCTCAAACTAGCACTGTCAGTAACATCATCAATATATTTGCTATGGTCAGGAGGCTTACTCTTCCAACATGACTGTTCCTGCCGGCACCCATCTCCTCCCACCCATGCCACCACTTGTTGTGTATTGCCGTGTCATTTTGTTGTAGAAACAACGCTGCCCACGGGGGACTAAAAGCCCAGGAATATGCAGATGCACAGACGTCATCTGCTGCCATGGCAACGAGGTGGGTGGGAGAGGAGAGTGGGGGGAGGGGAAGGTTGGTCAGGGTGGGAAGAGGAAGTATTGATATTTTCCACTCAGCGGTCACGAGAGACTGAGAATAGAAAAAGTCATAAAAGGATAGAATTTTCTTATTTCCTTCTCCATCAATTCTTGCCTCCGACTCACCGACACACACACACACACACACATACACACAGGGAGAGTCTCTCTCTCCCCCTTCCTCTCTCTCTCTCTCTCTCACTCTCTCTCTCTCTCATTCTGTCTATCATTCTCTCTTTCACGTTTTATCTTTCTCTTTTATATCTATCTCAAAAAGAATAAAAAATATGTATCTTTCTTTCTATCTTTTCTTTTCCTTCTCCCCCTTTTTTTGCACTTCCTTCAGTCTCTTCCGTCTCGCTTCTTTTCTGTCATTTCGCTATCTATCTGTTTGTTCATATCTATCTATCTATCTATCTATCTATCTCAAAAAGAAATAAAAAATGTCTGCATATTTCTATCTATCCTTTCCTTTCCTTCTCCCTCTTTTTTGATACTCCATCAGTTTCTCTCTCTTGCTCTTTTCCTTTCTCTCGCTCATCTATCTTTTATCTATCTTTTCCTTTCCTTCTCTCTCTGTTTTTGCACTCCTTTCAGTCTCTGTCTCTCTTTCCAAATCTCTCTCTTTCACTATCTATCTATCTATCTATCACAGTCTAGTTATTATCTACCTATGTATCTATCTATCTCAGTCTACTTATCTATATATCTCAGTCTACTTATGTATCTATCTATCTATCTATCTATCTATCTATCTATCTATCTATCTATCTGAGTCTACTTATTATCTAGCTAGCTAGCTGTGTGTGTGTGTGTGTCTCTCTCTCTCTCTCTCTCTCTCTCTCTCTCTCTCTCTCTCTCAAAAAGAAATAAAAAAATACCTGCATGCTTTTCTATCTTTCTGTCTTAATTGCCTTTCTTTCTCTTTCTGATTTTGCATTTCTTTCAATATCTCCTGCTCTCTCTCTCTCTCTCTCTCTCTCTCTCTCTCTCTCTCTCTCTCTATCTATCTATCTATCTATCTTGACCGAATCACGTGTCACGTAGAGTGTAGAGGAAGTGCTAGATGCATTCATGTGACTATAGAAAAGGTTAAAATTTACCCAAGGAGACAGCCGGACGTAAAACTGCAACTGAAAAATAAATAAGGGTGAACAGACAGACAGATAGATAGATAGATAGATAGATAGATAGATAGATAGATAGATAGATAGATAGATACGAACAGACAGACAGGTATATAGATTATTGATTCTATGATTCATACGGATATGATAGATTTTTTTTAACCTACCTTCCCACCCCAAGCTAGGCAATGTCAATAAAACACAAGGATTTACTGGGTGTGAAAGAATATAAGAAAAAAATATTATTATTAAGGAGTGAGAACAATAAAAGAACAGGAATTAAAAAGACAGAAGATAACGATTGACATTGCATTTAAATTTTTGAAGATCAGAGTTGACCGGAAAGCATGAAACTGGAAGAGAGTTCCACAAGGGAAAAGTGCGAGAGAAGAAACAGGGAACTTACGTTTGAATTTAGCCATATCAACTGTAAAATTATGGGACTTTGCTGCCAATCTAGTACTGCGCTTAAATTTATAAAGTCGAGGTGCCATAGGGGAAAGTTCATCAGAACAACTACCATGAAAGTATTAATAAAAACAGCACAAGGAAGCTACATTACAGCAATGGAAAAGTGACTGTAGCGGAAATTCGAGGTCAGGACCAATAACTTTGTCGATTCTTCTTTGGATTTTATCAAGAATCCTTCAATATAGCAGAAGCACCAGACCAGATGTGGCAGAAATATCCAAAGTCTGAATATGTAATGGCAAATGGATAAATGGTCTGCGGTGGTATATATATATATATATATATATATATATATATATATATATATATATATATGCACTCTTTACAATCAGAATCAAGATACCTTTTAGTTAATGACCATTTTCACCTACGAATTTTAATTTTAAAAAATGGCCATTAACTAAAGGTATCTTAATTCCAATTGTAAAGAAAAGTTGCTCTGTTTAATGAAAATAAACATTGAGCACTTTTTTGTGAGTCAGTTTTAACATATTTCAAATTCTATATTGTGTTAATAGGACTCGTCTGGATTATAGCAACGGATTACCACCTATATATATATATATATATATGTGTGTGTGTGTGTGTGTGTGTGTGTGTGTGTGTGTGTGTGTGTGTGTGTGTGTGTAAAATAATTAAAAAAATTGACATGTTTCGCTAATGATCTGTTATCATCGGAAAAAAAGGTATGTTATTAGGCAAGAACAAAGTCTATATTACTGATCTACTAGACCCCTACGATTATTATAGGATTGGTCTATTTCAATATACCGCTTACTAAATTAACATCATTTTCGCAGATGAAGCCGCATTGAATGTTGTATGTTTGGTGAATCTCTTACGATTAATATATGGTAATTTTCTAAGCGCATCTTAGATGTGGCACAAGGCCGAAATGAAACTCAAACTCACTACTCAGTCATAAATGTTCTAGTGAGACAAACTTGCTAAGATTACACCACGTCAAGATGCTCCTTAAGATTAATATGTCTGGGCTATTTTAATATACCGCCTCTGTTTACTAAATTAACATAATTTCTGTAGATGAAGAAAATGTAGACGAATCCGCAGTGATTAATGTATAACTGGATCGAAATATTTTCCACTGTTAAAACTTACGTATTTACTATTCCATCGGCTTCTAATCCAACTTTACTTATAAACACACATAGATAGATAGATAGATAGATAGATAGATATGAACAGACTATCAGATAGATAGGTAGACATGAATAGCAAGAGATAGATAGATAGATAGATAGATAGATAGATAGATAGATATGAACAGACTACCAGATAGATAGGTAGACATGAATTTATACGAACAAATAGTTAAGTTAGATCAAATGGCAATGATAGATAGATAGATAGATAGATAGATAGATAGATAGATAGATAGAAATTAATACTGCATGGTGACCCCCGTTTTCACTAATTATATAAGCTACTGTGGGTCTAAAGAATGTGGGCGAAGGTTAGAATCATCTTTCTTTAGTGCTTTTGTTACGGGCTGATGTTTTAAGTGATTTATATGCATTACCTTTACTTTGCTAATTTTATATCCTTTCATTCTTTTGTATATTTTCTTCAATTCTAAATTTCTGTAATTGAAAAAAAAACTCATTAGACTTACGTTATGGGATTTTATTTAGTCCTTTGAGCCGTAATGTGGTTGTAGGTAGCGTAATAAGAAATTGATTTTGTGTATGCATTTGAAAGAGAGCTCTGATCTTTTTCTCTGCAGAAAATGATTTTCCTCAAAATAAACTCTCTTTTTATTGAAACTTTTCCTATGTATAATTTACATATAATTTATACAGCCTTTACGAGCCATATACATTTTTCTCTTTGAATTTCCGTCATAATGCATTATTATTATCATTATTATTATTATTATCATCATCATAATACACTGATTTATTCGAATCGATGTCCTCATCTTGATTAATATAGCCAGAACGTTTCAGCCGTTGTACCTTCCGGCCATCTTCAGGTGCTCGGCGTATTTGATAATGTTCTGTGAATTTGAAACTGAACCCTTTATTCATGCCACGAGAGTTGGGGGAGGGAATTGTTCTTGTTCCGCTGTCCACCACTTGATTTTCCAACGTGACAATAGTCAAGTGGGTATAAGCGGTCATGAGTTCAATCCTTGGGTCAGGGAATGGAAATCAGATAATCCGATACCGGGGAATGAACAGAAGTGTCGCCACAAGGAGGGATTAATTAAAAATAATGACTGATCCCCTCGAAACATGGACAGCAGAGTGAGAATAATCTATTGCCGTGGATTGAATAAAGGATTCTGTTCCACATTCTTAGAAGGTTGCCAAATAAGATGGACCCCTGAAGAAAACTCAAACACTGGGATAACAACAAAGATGAGATTTTCAATTAAAGATGAGAAAAGTATTGGGTTTACCTCAAAAGAAAGAAGGGATAATCGATAATTTGAAATCATCATCCCAGGCGCAAAGATTGCCGATAATCCAACTCTTGCATCCAACACTTTTTAAACAAGCACAACTATTTCTTCACGAATTAGAATCTGCTGCAGCACAAGTTGGATTCTTATATAAATTGCATCAAAACAGAATTAATGTCTTAATCAAGCAGAAAGAGATCTTATAATATTCTAGGGTGACAGACAAAATAAAGTGGATGACCTTTTTATATCTGGGGTCATGGTTGAACTCCTCACAGATACGGATGTTTTAACTACTAGAGTAACAAAACTGAATACCATCTGGAAGAGAAGAAAAGTTTTTTTTTAAAATATCTGAAAGTGCAACTCTTTATGGTCAACAGTAGTGTTGGATCACTCCAACATGTCTATGGGGGGACTTTACTTAATGCCCAAGAGGTGGCATTGCAATAAGAACTCTAAAAGGAAAGGACATAAACCCTCTTTCTCTTTTTTTTTTTTTTTTTTTTCAAACCCAGGATGTTGTAGTGGTAGAACGTTTCATTCCTTCCAGGGTAACAGTCCCCTGGGTCGTGACTTTAATTTAGAAATCTTACCCCCTTGGTACTACTGGTTAAAAGATAGGTGTTAGAAAATCTATAACTTTTACAAAGTTGTACATTTCCAAAAACTTGTACTTTTTTGTTGGTTGATTTTGTTTTAGCGGCATATCAAAACCTCTATGTGTTATTTAATGTCAAAATCTAAATAATTTGTACAGAATTTGATACTTTTATAGTAAAAGTATGTATATAGTTTGTAGATCATAAAAATGTATTGTTGGTATTTTTAAAAATGTATTGCTGATAATTTCACTACAAAAATCTATTGTTATTAATGTTTTTATGAGAATGTATTTTTATAACTTTTTAGCGATACACTGGTTGTCATTTTACTATATAAATGAACTTTTGGTTTGTTTGGGGGTCAATATTTGCCTATAGCAAATCTATCTATCTATCATTGCCATTTTATCTAACTTAACTATCTGTTCGTATAAACCTTTTATCTACTTGCATGAATCTATCTATCTATCTATCTATCTCATGCTATTCGTGTCTACCTATCTATCTGGTAGTCTGTTCCTATCTAACAGGTGCTACCACCCTGAGTTAGGGTGGACCTGGGAACAACAGCAATTAAGGGGTGATTCCACGCTCCTCACAATCTCCTGATCAGAGGATTTGCTGCAGGATATAGTTTACTGTCATACTCAGAACGTGTCATCATGTGACATCTTCATAGTGTGTATTGAAATATACTGTTATTCTGGATTCATGGACCAGTGTAAAACTCACAGGCACTTTTGGGCGATCCTGGATTTAAAGGGTTCAATTAATGTTATAACTTATATATTATGATTTTTATCAGTATATAAGATGAGTAAAGTATTGGGTTTACCTTGTTCTCAAATTAGAATCTACTGCTGCTTAAGTTGGACGAAATCAAAAAATTTGTGTAGAACGAAATCTTATTACATTGAAAGGTAACAATCTCAATCAAGTGGATGATTTTTTTAATATCTGGGATTATTGTTGAACAGCTCACAAAATGATGCAGATGTCAGAATTTCAATGACATTGAGAACACTGTGATTTTGTACGTGCGTAGGTAAAAGTAAGAAGTTCATGAGGTTATGAAAGTAAGATAACGGTTAACCATAGACTTGAAGAGGTCAAGATTGGTTATGGACATAATCTCTGTAAAAATCAG